ATACTGTTGATACTCAAATAAAAATCCTGTAAAAAGTAAGTTAGTGAGAAATGACTAATTACACAGGGCTAGAGCAGTAAAAGAGGTCTGTACTCCTTACATCATTTTTACAAGATGAGTAAAACGGACAAGACTGCCAGAGGTTTGGGCACTTTTTGGAGGAAAATCCATCTCCCACTGCAAAATTTCTCTAAGTGGGGCTATCCAATGTCTGGGCTTTTTGGACTTTAAAATACAGCTATGCAGTTGTTTGTGGCCATTCCCTAAGCAACAAAGCAAAAAGTGCTTTATCAATCTATCTATCTATCTATTTTTTAAATCAATACTTAAATCATTCAATGGCAGAGCAGCTGTGATGTCAGAACAGTTCTGACTGCTGAGCCCATGGATATTATGAGACCAAGAGAAAGCCTTATTTTCTTATCCCTTAGATGATGTTTACTTTTATCTGGAACTGTTTAAAAATATGTATTTTTGTACACATGTAAGCACAGCTACCGAACTATTGCTCTAAACAACGTGTTTAAGCTGCAGGAAGGACATGGGAGAAAAAAAAAGGATCAGGACATTTTCTTAGGAGAGTTTAATTGTAGAATATTTGGCACCTTTCTCTTGCACCAGTATACTACATGGCCTCATTATTGCTACTATTGTGTTCTGATACGGAAAAAAAACTTTCAGCTTCCTCTTGAAACATCACTATATCAAATGTAGCGTACATCAGCATTGCTTTTTTATGGAGGAGGACAACATAAAAAGCAGGTATGCTATAATGATATTTAATGGAAGTCGCAGAAAGAGAGAGCTGCTATGTATTTGGCATGATAATCGGCATAGAAAATGCTTCTTGTCTTGCATTTTGGAACACAGGGTGTCAACGAAACAATAAGTGGCAGGCACATACACATTTTAAGCTATCTAAAATGAGTAGTCTAACTCAGCAGCAATTGGGGAGGCTGCTCAGATTCCAACGGATTCAGTTGAAAAGCCACATGAAAGCTGAAAGATAAAGCTAGGGACCTCAGTTACCTAAAGAAGCAATTTTTGATAGCTCAAGTTTCTGCCATTGCTAATCTTCTTCAGTCTGCCTCAAAGTATACATTTGTATACGTTCAAATTTTCAGTCCTATCGCTGGTGAAAGTAGCTCACATTAAATCAGTATGTCCTTTGTTTGTACTAAGGGAACACCATTCTGAAAATACCTCTCTGGAGGCCATAAATCTCTGCCAAGGTGAAGAAGCTTGCCCTTTCAGTAAAAACAGAGACAGAGCCAACTGAGCAACATCAAGACAACAAAAAGAAGAGCTGCAAGGGAGAGAGCAGAAATACAGCTGCTCTGAGTACCCAGCCTGGATGATACTACACAGACTATAATTCCTTTAACTTCTTCCTAACGATGTGGAAGATGTGGAAATGCCCAGAAATGCAGGCATTCCCGTTCCACAAGCTCACACCTCGCCTTGCTCCATGCTCTCCCAGGCTATTTTTCAGTGGCAGATTAACTGTTTTCAACTATGGCTACCATGGTGCTGATGATTGAGTTCAAGATTGAGGAAAAAAAAAGAAAGATCAGATTACTTGATTGGGCTATTTAAAGTTTTAAAACTTTTCTTCATTTTGCCCTTTTGGAATTATCACTTGACAAGGAGGAAAGGAGGATAGATCCACAGACTAGCGGTAATCAAAGGCTCACGATAACCAAAACCTTTAAGGACTTATTATATCCCCTTCCTGAAGGAGATTAGCTGGAGACTGTCTAAACTTTTACCCTGAAGACTATTAAATGTGTTTCCATCTTGTTAAGAAGGGTACCTTACACTTTCTGGAGAACAACAAAAGTCAAGTAAATTGCTTCTTTCCTTAATATCAATAACGGAAAAAATGGAAAGTACGTTTATAAAGCCACAACGTTTTCAAGCTGCACAGGAGAGCGCCTTTGAATCTCACCCCACTGCTGGTAAGAGATCAGCACAGTTAATGGCATCTCAGCTGTGTCAAGATGTTCAGAGGGGAAAAAAAAACGTTGATACTTCCTCTCCCCAAATAAATAAATTAGGATTAAATATATATCATTATCCCAGATGTCCTGTACACCTAATCTGAAAACAACTAGATGTACCTAGTTAATCTGTCTGCAAAACAGATTTATACTTGCCCACACACATAACTATAGAAAAGACTGAAAGGCATGTGCTGGAGCCATTTCTTCTCCAGCCTGTCTGCACG